CGCGACGCCCGAGACATCCTCCAGAGCCGCCAGGTCTCAGAGATTCTGATCTGATCCTATCTGTCCTCGTCCTGGCTTCGTCTTACTGCGGTCGCCCTCGGGGTCGTCGTCGGCGCGACCGGCCGGGCGCTCGAGCTCCTCAAGCGCGGTTTGATATTCTCGGCGCCGGCGCTCACCTGTCGCCGCGGCAGCTGCTTCAGCTGCGCGGCGGTCTGCAGAGCTCGATCGGCCGCTCCGATGGCTTCGTCCAGCCTGCCCCGAACTGCTGCGTCCTTCTTCCTCCTCGTGCTCCTGCCCCTCCTCCCTCTTGTCCTCATCCTCGGTCATCGTCCTCCTCCTCCCCCTTCCTTCGCTGTCCTCCCATCTGCCATGAAGGTCATCGGGTTCCTGAAGGAATCGGTTCCCAGACCCCAGGGCTCCCCCCTGGCTGGGTAGCGGTTTCACGGCCCTCCCTTGGCCAAGGGCTCCCTCGAGGGCGCGAAGTTATTCGCGCTTCGCGCTTCGCGGTCCTCGTTCCTTCTCCTCCTCCTCCTCGTCCTCCTATTCTCCCTTTGGAAGGGCGGCGCGAGAGCGCGAAGTTATTCGCGCTTCGCGCAGCGCGAAGCGCGAAGTTGGGAGCCCTAGCTTGGCCCGTGGAGGGCCCCAGGGGGGCCGAGAGAACGGCGAGGAGTTTCAGGATCCGCTTCAATCGTGTCAGGATCAATATCCCGCGCATCCCCCGTCCCCGCCCTTGGTAGCGCCTCCCTCCGACCCCTTGTGTCGGAGGGCACCAACTATACACCAACACCGATCCTGGCCCAGGATCACCCTGGGCCCATGATCGGTGTATATGCTTTCTTGCCCAAGGCAGGAGGGCGTATACACCGATCCTGGGCCCAGGGTGATCCTGGCCAGGATCGGTGTTGGTGTATAGTTGGTGCCTTCCTATTGTGGCCTGAGGAGGCTGGGGGGGGCTCCCCAGCGGGAACCTCGGGGTGGCGGGTCCTCTCCTCTGTCTCCCTTTCCCCGCTCCCGGGCACGCCGCGCTTCGCAAGACGTCCCCAAACGTCCACCGCATCGCCCGCCCCTACGGCGGGGGCGTTGGTTAAGGAATATGCCCTAAGGTTTCAGACCCTGGACGGTTCCTCATCTGACGAGGGAGGCGGTGATGTCCACGGTCAAGCCGCCACTGGCTTTCCACTGGCTCCCAGAACCTGGATTCCTCATCGAAGGTTTCCTTATCCAATGCCTCCACCGTAAGAGCATGCGGCAGCGGAGTATGAGGAAGAAGAGAAGGTGAAGGAGGCGGAGGAGGGAGGAGAGAGGGGGAGGCCGAACTAACAGCGAGAGGACATGATGATGTTGTTGCTGATGCTGATGCTGATGCTGATGCTGATGCTGATGATGATGATGATGATGATGATGATGATGATGATGCTGATGATGATGATGATGCTGATGCTGATGATGATGATGATGATGATGATGATGATGATAATGATGATAATGATGATACTGATGATGATGATGATGATGATGATGTTGATGATGAGGATGATGAGGATGATGATGATGATGATGATGATGATGATGATGATGATGATGATGATGATGATGATGATGATGATGATGATGATGCTGATGCTGAGTTCCCGTTGGTGTTAGCCACGTTGAGGAACCGCTCCCCCCATGCCGCCCGTCGGCGGCAGCAGGGCCACTGCCCCCCCGCGGGGCGGATCGGCCTCGAGGGGGCGGGGGGGCGGGGGCCGCCTGCGGCGCCCAGCGGGGGCCCGCGGAGTCGCGCACCGCCCGCGCCTCGGAGGAAAAAGGGGTGGGGGGCCGTCGGCAGGGAGGAGGGGATGATCACGCACCTCACACGGACGCGTGCCGCGGGAAAGGGGGCGGGGAGAGGAGGAGGAGGAGGAGGAGGAGGAGGAGGAGGAGGAGGAGGAGGAGGAGGAGGAGGAGGAGGAGGAGGAGAGGAGGAGGAGGAGGAGGGAGGAGGAGGAGAGGAGGAGGAGGAGGAGAGGAGGAGGAGGGAGGAGGAGGAGGAGGAGGAGGAGGAGGAGGAGGAGGAAGGAGGAGAGAGTAGGAGAGGAGGGGGAGGAGGAGGAGGAGGAGGAGGAGGAGGAGGAGGAGAGTGAGGAGGAGGAGGAGGAGGAGGAGGAGGAGAGGAGGAGGAGAGGAGGAGAGGAGGAGGAGGAGGAGCATGGTAAACCCAGCATGCATCAACGATGCTGCAATACACCCTCCCGTCCCAAGCCCCCTCCTCTCGAGTTCCGCGACCCTTCCATTACGCCAGCGGAAGCGCCCTCGAGTTCCGCGACCCTTCCATTACGCCAGCGGAAGCGCCCCCTCCAAAGACGAACGCCCCATGGGCTGCCGTTCGGGCGATGGCCCCGCTTTGAAGAGGAACCGCTGTGCATCCTCCTGGCGAAGTAGAAGGAGTGCGAAACGGTTGGGGCATAACGTCCAAAGACGAGTGCAGCGGCACCCCGTTTTGAAAAGGAGCCGCCCCCGACCCGTCTTGCTGCCGCACAAGTTCACGCGTCTGATCGCCGGCTGCCTGAAAGCCTGAAGCAAGAGCCCCACGTTGGAAAGGAGCCAGCTGCCACATGTAGTCTGTGGTCTTTACGTTTGAGGAAGACTTCAGCGGTATATCCCCATTTGGACAAGGAGCCGTCCTCCATCCGTCTGGCTAGTTCTCGCTAGTTTTTAGAACGAATGTGCGCGGCGCTGAGGCGAGAGCTCCATTCAACAAACGACCACCCCTGCATCCTCGCAGCTGTTGCAAGCTTCCAGCACGAATGGGCGCGGCCTTGCGGCGAGAGTCCCATCTTGAAAACCACCGGCCCTCCATTCTTAGAAGTGTTCCAAGCTTGGAAGCTCCAGTGTAGCACATCGCCATGACTTCTCAATCGAAGCGCCCCGCCCAGCCTACGGACACGTCTGGTGGTGCGACAGGGGGGAGCTATTCGTAACGAAACTGGATGGGGGAGGAGGAGGAGGAGGAGGAGGAGGAGGAGGAGGAGGAGGAGGAGCGGGAGCGAGCGAGCGAGGAGCGAGGAGCGAGGAGCGAGGAGCGAGGGGGAGGGGAGGGGGAGGGGAGGCAGGAATGGGAAGAGGGAGGAGGAGGAGGAGAAGGAGGAGGAAAAGGAGGAGGAGGAGGGCGAGGACGAGGACGAAGAGCAGGACGGGGAGCCGGAGGTGGCGGGGAGGGGAGGAGGAGGAGGAGGAGGAGGAGGAGGAGGAGGAGGAGGAGGAGGAGGAGGAGGAGGAGGAGGAGGAGGGGAGGAGGGAGGAGGAGGAGGAAGGAGAGGAGGAGGAGGAGGAGGAGGAGGAGGAGGAGGAGGACGGAGGAGGACGGAGGAGCGCGGAGGGAGGCGGGGGAGGCAGTGCACCTGCCAATTCGGTGAACAGCGGCTTGACGTCGTGCAGACGTGCGCCCGTCGGGCGCCGCCACGGCCTCATTCTTCTGCACGGCCCAGCAGGAGGAGGACGACGACAACGATGACGACGACGAGGACATCGAGGGGCACGGGAACCAGTGGAGGGAGAGAATGGAGAAAGATATTCGTGTACTAAGCCAGCACGCCGCCGACGGTCTCAAGCCAACCATGATCACAATCATCATCAACATCATCATCATCATCATCATCATCATCATCAACAACATTAGCAGCAACAGCATCAGCATCATCATCAATATCAGAATCATCAGCATCAGCGCCAGCACCAGCAAAAGCATCATCACCACCATCATCACCACCATCACCACGATCATCATCATCATCATCATCATCATCAGCATCAGCATCAGCATCAGCATCATCATCGTCATCATCATCATTATCAGCATCATTATCATCGTCAGCATCAGCACCATCATCATATTCTTCATCACCATCATCAGCATCATACTCATGATAATCATCATCATCATCATCATCATCATCATCATCATCATCAACATCATCCATGGACTCAGCACCACCATCACCACCACCATCATCATTATCATCAGCAGCACCACCATCACCATCACCATCATCATCATCATTATCATCAGCATCACCATCACCATCACCATCATGATCATCAGCATCATCATCATCATCAGCATCATCATCATTAGCAGCATCATCATCACCAGCTGCTGCTCCGGCCCAAGCAAATCGCGGACACAGCATCCCCCAGCGCTCGGGCGGAACGTCGCCTGGGCGGGCGGGGGCCGCGGCCAGTTGCCGCCTCTGCCGCGCCCTGGCCACGGCCCCCCCCCCCCGCTTCGGGGACGCCGCGGCCGCGGGGGGGGGGGGGGGGGGGCGCTGGGCCCCCGCCGCCGGACGACCCTCCTGGCACAAGGGGGCCTCTGCAACGCACCATCACCAGGAAGAAAATGGGCGGGTCGGGAGGATGGGGTCGGGCCCCTGGGTGTGCGGCTGAAGTGGGGCCCCGTGAGCTCGGTTTTTCTCGATCTCTTGCCGTCGCCCCGCCCGCGACCCCTCTCGCGACCCGCCGTGCGACCAGTCCGCGACCCATCCCCGCGACCCAGCGCGCGACCCACCCGTGAACCAATCCGCGACCCACCCGTGACAAACCCACGACCCGCCCTGAGACGTGTTCACATCGTCGATATGGCCGCGTAATTACGCTTGAGGTGTTCGTTGCGCAGTCTGACCCTGTATCTTCCCAGCCCCTTCCCCCAGCACGTCCTCGTCTTTCTTTCCATAAGGCTTGAGCAGGCACGGAGCACGGAGTGCGTGAGCTGGCTGGGACTTGCACGCAGGCACTGCCCGCAGCAGGACACACCGCCGCAGTGCCTCCGCGGTTCGGCAGGTCCGTGGCCAACTCGGACAGGGGGTGGGCCTTCCCGTCGGGGAGTCCTGGGCCTGGCGCGCGCGCCGCCCCCCGGGAGGGCGGGGACGGATTCGGCACCCGCTGCCCGAGGAGCGAGGTTCAAAGTCCTGGCGCGCGCGCCTCCTCTGAGGGGCGGCGGCGGATTCGGCACCCTCCCTCATCCACCTCCTCCTCCTCCTCCTCCTCCTCCTCCTTCTCCTCCTTGGCCTCCTCCTCCTCCTCCTCAACCTCCTCCTCCTCCTCCTTGGCCTCCTTCTCCTCCTGCTCCTGCTCCTCCTTCTGCTCCTCCTGCTCCTGCTCCTCCTCCCGAGGCACGGGTGCGCGACAATGAGTGTGGGGCGGGGAGGGGGTGGCGACCGAGCGGGCCGCGCACGCGGCGGAGGCCGTGCGCGTGCTTGGCCTCTCCGAGCGCCGCGCCGGGAGGAGGAGGAGGAGGAGGAGGAGGAGGAAGAGGAGGAAGAGGAGAAGGACCAGAGTAAACCCAAGAGTCATCAACGATGTTGGAATCAACCCTCCCTCCGGGCTCCCTCTTCATTGGCATCTACAACTGTTCAGTTCCACTGAGGGACCTGCCTCCTTGGAAGACAGCCGTTTGAAGACCCTGAAGCATGCCAACACATTGTTGTCGGGATGGCAACGCCACGGGTCAACCTAACTGTTGCGTCTTGACGATCCTGAATCGCCCCAGAACGCCGTTCCTGGAATTTCAACACCACGAGTCAACGTAACTGCTGTTCCCTCGTAATCCTGAATCCTTCCAAAACATCATTTCTGGTACGCTGATCATCGGAATCCGTGAAACTCTTGCAAATTGTTACAACAAATGCACGCAACGCTAAGGCCAGAGCCACATTCTAAAAACCACCCGCCGTCAATCAGCGAAACCCCTGCAAATGGTTAGAACGAATGTACGCGGCGCCAAGGCGAGAGCCGCATTTTGGAAAGGAACCGCCCTCAATCCGTGAAGCTCTTGTAAGAGGTTTAAGACGAATGTGCGCGGCGCTAAGGCGAGAGCCACATTTTGAAAATTGCCCGCCCTCAATATGTTAAACTCTTGCATGTTTTAACGAATGTGCGCGGCGCTCAGGCGAGAGCCACATTTTGAAAACCACCCGCCCTCTATCTGTGAAACTGTTGTCAAATTAAAACCTTCAGGGTCATAAGTGGTGAGGAAGTCTCAGGCGAAACGTCCGGCCCGCCCTAAACATTGATTGGCCTCGGGGTGCGACAGCTAGAAATTATTCATACGGAAATGGAATGGAGGAGGAGGAGGAGGAGGAGGAGGAGGAGGAGGAGGAGGAGGAGGAGGAGGTGGTGGAAGAGCAGGAGCAGGACGACGACGAGGACGAGGACGAGGACGGGGACGAGGACGAGGGCCAGGAGGAGGCCCACCTCCCGGCCCGAGCCGACCGCGCGGCGGAGGCCGAACGCCAGGCAGAGGCCCCGCGCAGGGAGGGCGCCGAGCGTGGCGCGGGCCGAGGCGCGCGGCGGAGGCCGGGCGCCGGGAGAAGGCCGCTGGCCAGGCCGCGGCACGGCGCAGGGGCGCGGCCGAGAGCGGGGCGGGCAGACCGCGGGCGCCGCGTGCAGCGGAGGCCGTGCGCGTGGCGGCCGCCGCGCGCGCAGCCCGTCCACGGCGGGGAGCCCGCGGCCCGGCGACCACGGAAGGGGCGTTCGCGCAGGTCGCTGCGGCCGGGGGCGGTAGGGGGTGGCCAGGCTTCCTCGGGCTCGTGGGCTCGTTGCTTTGGAGGTCCTGCCCTTGAGCTGCGGATCGTCACCATCGTGGACGATCATCGCCCTGCTCCTCCTCCTCCGCATCATCATCATCAGCAGCATCATCATGACCATCATCGTCGTCATCGCAATCGTCATCGTCATCGTCATCAGCATCCTGATCATCGTCATCATCATCATCATCATCATCATCATCATCATCATCATCATCATCATCATCATAATCATTATCATC